CCAGTATTGGATCTGGAACTCAGGGCCTTGCAACCTGCTGGGCAATCGCTGAGAGCCATACCCAGCCTGATTTCCATGTTGCTGTGTAGTATATAGTCCCTCTATTTCACCTGTTGAAATGTATCCCACTAGGTAAATATACCATACTTAATTTATCTTCTCAGTGGACTGTGTCCAGCTTTGTGTGTGTGTGTGTGTGTGTGTGTGTGTGTGTGTGTGTGTGTGTGTGTGTTTTAAAACTAGAAACATTGCATTTAGGAAATGCACGTGTCTCCTGAACGATTGCATCAGTACTTCTCTTGGTGCCTAGGAGTAGCATTGTGGGTCAGATTTATAAAGCCAAACCAAAGTGTTTACCGCAGTGGGCAGGTCATTCCCACGTACAATACCTTACACTAGCAGTTTAACACTCGTGGCGTTTATCCGTGATTGGCTCTGCAGATGGTTGAAGCTTCCTTGCAGTGAACTCTATTTGCTTTTGCTAGTGCACTCAAGAGGCTGGGCATCTTTCTATCATTATTGACCGATAATGCTTCACTGGATTGATTCGCACGCCGGGTGTTAGGTTGTCTGTTGTTTGCTTGTTTTGTCAACTTGATACAAGCTGGAGTCAGCTGGAAAGAAGAGGCCTCCGGTGAGGAGCTGCCTCTAACAGATGTGTCTATGGGCACGTCTGTGGGGCATTTTCTCAATCGATAGCTAATGTCAGAGGGTCCAGAGCACTGTGGGCAGTGCCATCCCTGAGCAGATGTTTCTGGGGTGTGTGTATAAGGAAGCACACTGAGCAAACCATGGGGACCAAGTCAGTAGGCAGTGTTTACTCCAGCACTCTCTCTTAGTTCTTGCCTACAGATTCCTACCCTGGCTCCCCTCAGTGATGGACTGTGGCATGTAAGATGGAATCCATCCTTTCCTCCTCAAGTAGATTTTGGCCCATGTGTTATCACAGCAATAGGAAATGCTCAAGGCCTTCTGAAGTAGGTGTGATGACAGCCATCCCTGACCCCAGTGTTTTGAGGGGCAGACAATAGGATCAGTAGTTCAAGGTCAGCCTCAGCAGCATGGTGACTTTGAGTCTAGCCTGGGCTACATGAGACTTTTTTAATCTCCAAAGCAAAAGCAAGCAAACCAAAGACAACAGCAGAGAAAGTGGCCTCCTTTAGACCGTGTGTGTGCTGAGTCGTGGGTCAGTGTGTGCACTAACTCTAGTGACTGGTACCCTTAGAAGAGAGCCATGTGGAGACAGAAGCACAGAGGGAGGTGGCCTCATGATGGCAGAAGCGTAAGTCGATTAGTCTACGAGGCAAGGCACCCAGAAAGAAAGACAAGGAGGGGATGGTCTCCTCGAGCTCTGTCAGAGTGAGCCTGGCCTAATCAGCACCTTCACTTCCGCCCCTGCCCCCCCTACCCCCCCCCACTGGTCAACTTCAAAAAAAATCTTACTTTTTTAAAATTTCATGTGTTATATGTATGAGTGTTTTGTCTACGTGTATTTATGTGGACCCTATGTGTGCAGTGCCAGTGGAAGCCAGAAGAGGGAGCTAGACTTCCCGGAACTAAGATAACAGCTGTGGGCCGCCATATGGGTGCTGGGAATCGAACCTGGGTTCTCTGCAAGGGCATCGAGTTTTTTTAACTGCTGGACTGTCTCTCCAGCCCCACCACCGGTTCCTTTTGGAACCGTGTCTACCTTCCTCACTGGAGCTGTATGTAAGTGCTGCTTTCGGGAAGTCCCCCCTCGCCACGCTAGCTTTAGTTAGTGACAGGTAGCACAAGCCTCCCAAGCTCTGCCCGCACCCCCGACACGGGTTTCCATTCTCCATCACCGCGGGTTTGCCTGGGAACACTTTTCCACACGCCATTTGAGCCTCGACGGGAGGGAGCCAACCTATTTTGAACTGTCTCCGTTGCACGGACCGTTTAGAATCTTTTCAGGTTATGAGAAAATCATGTTGGAGAACCACTCTTGCATATTTTTAGTGGTGAATCATGACGTGTGAATTATATCTGAATAAAGTTGCGTGGGTTTTTTTTTTCCCCCTTGCTGGGAGGAAAAAAACACTGAGTTCCTGCCAGCTGTGCGACATGATCCTGACATTAAGTACCTGCTTCCCTGGCAATCTTCTCTAAATCTCTCTCTCTCTCTCTCTCTCTCTCTCTCTCTCTCTCCCTTAAAAAAGCAATGTGCATGTGCGTGTGTGTGTGTGTGTGTGTGTGTGTGTGTGTGTGTGTGCACCCACATGTGCGTGAACATTTATGTGTGTGAACGTGGGCTTGTGTTTGTCACCGTGTGGATGGAGGTCAGAGGACAACCTTGGGCGTGGATTCTTGCCGTCACTGTTGGACACAGGGTCCCTTTGTTGTTCACTGTGTGTGTGTGGGGGGGTGACAAGTTAGCTGGCCTTAAGCCTCCAGGGATTCTCCTGGGCCCATCTCTCCATATATAACACTGGCATTATAGACACTTGCTATTGGGTTCACCCACCTTAATGTGGGCTCTAGGGATTCAGACCCAGTGCTCACACTTGTGTGGCTGTTTACCCACTGAAGTATTCCACAAATGATTTCTTCTCCATATCTCGGAAGTGGCCGCAGCCAAACTTGGTGTCAATGAACTTGAGATCGATCTTCTACAGAGCCGGCAATTTACTTGGTCTGCACCATTAAGGATATGCCTAAGGTACACAGGTACCTACCAGTCCCCATCATACAGTGTTCAGTGCGACAAAGACATCGGTCACTGTCAAAGCTGCCTGGTGGGCTGATGCTCTTATCAGAGTTGGTGGGGCATGTTCTTGATCAGCTTGCCATCCGGGAAATGGCAGACCTGACCAATCTACAGTAGGCCTTCTTGCTCAGCTCAGGCTAGAGAAGGCCACAAGGGCAGGGTGCCAGCTTCCAACACAGGCAGCCCTTGGTTGTCAGTAACTGGTGACCCCTTTGTAGCCTTTGCTCTTGGTCACCCTGAGGCCACCAATCATCTCATCCTGTGTGAGCACCTTGTTCTTGGAGACTCTGTGGCACAGCCTCCCCCTCCCCCGGCCCCGCCCCTCCCCTCCAGGCAAGCCTTCTCCTGGTGGATAAGAAGAAAGCATGCGTCAGTGTGGGTGACACTGTGGGTGACCTGGAAGCACTTTATGCTGTAAAGTCCCTTTCACATCGCTGTCTAGTGAAAGCCTTCTTAAACCAGTACCAGTTCTCACACAAGCGCCCTTTGCACTTGCTGCTGACGGGCACGGCAAAGATGACTTGGAAGTCCTCGGGGTGAGGGGCACCGCACAGCCCACCTGCCCGCAACCGGCAGGGAGGTGTTTGCACCGTGCTCCCAGACAACTTCCTTCTGGTCCGCCTGGGAGCCTGACCTGATAACTTCCTGCACAAAGGGGTCAAAGCCGGGTGGCGGCGGCCGTGCATGCCTTTAATCCCAGCACTCGGGAGGCAGAGCCAGGCAGATCTCTCTGAGTTTGAGGCCAGCCTGGTCTACAGAGAGAGTTCCAGGAAAGGCGCAAAGCTACACAGAGAAACCCTGTCTCGAAAAACAAAACAAACAAACAACAAAATAAAACAAACAAACAAACAAACAAACAAAAAGCAGGTCAGTCCAGCTTCTTGGCCCAGGGATACTTGGGAAAGCACTTAGCTTTGATGAAATGCCGGCTGGTGTCCTCTGAGGCAAGCTTCCTCAGACACCGTGCTTGCAAGCAGAGACTTCTGGGAGACATCATGCCATCCAGTCCCACCTGGAGAGGAGCCGTATTTTTTGCTTTTTAAAGACCCTGTTGAAATTTTGTTTGGAATTGTATTACAAATACAGATCAGTTCTGGGGAAGAAGTATGTCTTTAGGATATTAGGTATTTTTATACATGTATTTGAAATCTATCTCATTCTCCTTCAAGGCTGAAGGCACAAAGATAACGGTACCTGAGGGCCAGAGATGCAGTTCCACTGGTAGAGTGGTTGCCTGGCATCACAAAGCCCTGGGTCCTCTCACCAGCAGTGCATAAAAATAGGCATGGTGGGCTGGAGAGATGGCTCAGTGGTTAAGAGCACTGGCTGTTCTTCCAGAGGTCCTGAGTTCAATTCCCAGCAACCATATGGTGGCTTACAACCACCTATAATGAGATCTGGTGCCCTCTTCTGGCCTGCAAGGACACATGCAAATAGAACACTATATACATAATAAATAAATAAATCTTAAAAAAAAAAAACAGGCATGGTGGCACTTAATGTATACCAAGAGACTATGAAAAAAGGCAAGAAAAATATAAAGGAGAAAGCAATAAACAGATAACTCCAAAGCTCAAGCCAACACTCGGAAGATGAACTTGGAATCAGTAGAGCTCTCTTTTGTCCCCTCCCCATTGTACATTGATCAAATCTCCTTTCTCTGATCTTTGCCACTGTTCACCAACTAGCATTAGAGATGGGTGGCCGAGCCTAGCCTGTTGGGGCTGCAGAAGCCAGAACTGCCGCCCCCAAAGCGCTCATGCTTTGTTTTTACGAATTGTGCTCCCTAGGTGTCCACAATGAACAAAACTCCATGGGCTTGTATTGTTTGTAAAACCCCCCCCCCCATTTTGTATGGCTGATCATTTGTTCAGCTACTGAAGGCCTTGGACTCTCTCTTAGGAATCCACAAAAATACACCGGGGGCTACAAAGAGATCAATTGTATGGGAATGCAGCCCCGTTCACAGACACTTGGAGGAGCCCACCGATCTCCAGGCTATGTAGACGTCTTCCATGGAGGGCGGTTTCTTACAGTCTCTGGTGATGTGTGTAGCGTCTGGTAATGAGCTGAGCCCCTCCGAGTCTGAGCTGCTACGTGGAAGTCTTGTCTCTCTCTGGTCAGCCTCGTCTTGCTCGGGTACATCCTTCCAGGAGGCCTTTTGATGCTAGATAACTTTGGACCACGAGTAAATCCCAACCACCCAGAGTATTGGGGCAGATTGCATTTGGCAACGCAAACACATTTCACAGATGATAGCCTCAGACAGATGGTGGATATCAAGACATTTAATCACAGGGTTCTGACATTTCAGAATTTGAGGGGTTGGGAGTTTCGTTGGCTTTTGGGCATAGGCAGAACTTAATAAGCCAAATAAATTATTCTTCAGCTCTCTGCTGCAAGCTGTAAATAGCATTTGACAGGTTCTGCCTGTCATCTTATGAAGAACATTAACTCTCCCTCTAACATATTTTCGTGAAGGGAAAGCATTCCAAATGTACATATTAATAATAAAAAGGCAAATGAAAGATTAGAAGGGCAGTTGCTTTCTTCATTTTTTCCCCCCAGGATCAAAAAGAATTAAGATTTTTTTTTAAACATACAGTTTTTTGTTTTTTTTACCTTTCGCTAATTTACATTCTGTTTTGGCAACAGGCAAGGTTACATAATAGTGCAGCCTTCTACCAAATAGGGATTGGAGGGGAAATCTCACTGTTTAAATTTAGAGACCTTGACTGTTTGGTTAGGAAGGAACTTTTTCCCCTCCTGTTTTTTTTTTTTTTTTTTTCCCCAAGTTTTACTGAAACCAGAGCTTTATAGTCTTGCTTAAAAAGAAACAGTAAAGAAATAAATACAGTTGAGTGTCTTTCATACAAACAGTAAAGAAATAAATACAGTTGAGTGTCTTTCATACCATACTATTGCAATCACCGGGCCTGCTGGGGAAAAAAAAAAAAACATCCTTCGCATGACGACGTGGTCAGTCTAATATTATTTGCCACGCTTGTTTCGGTTAGCTCAGGCGTTCAGCGAGCGTGGTCTATACGCCGTGCACTGTGCTAAGCATGAATACGTCAGGCTGTCCTTCACCCTGTGTGCGCGCCCACTCCCCAACCTTGGTTCAGAATTCCCCGGACAAGGATATAAATCCAGGGGGCTTGAGAACGGACTTGGTGCAGAAGACACGGTGATTGAGAGCAGCGTATTCTCAAGCACGTGGATGAGGTCGGAAGGGAGAAAAGGGGTCTTCTGGTCTTGGAAAGGGGGCTCTTCAAGATTTCGGGGCTGAGGCGGGAAGAAGGCAGACCACCAGGTGGCGCTGTTGCTGCACAGGTTTCAAGGCGGTGCTGGGGCATGCGGACTAGCTCAAGAGCTGCTCCTAACAAAGGAACTTCTGGGATTGCAATCAGGGCAGCCACTCCAAGAGAGGGCAAGGCAACTCCCCGGGAGAAGGAGAATAGGAGACTGCCTTTGTCACCGGGAGGCTCTAGGCTAGAGCATTTCAAAGGACCAGGGCAGTTGTGAACCTATGGAGGCTGACTGGTGGAATCCACTCTTAAGGAGCTGGAGCATTTAGCCGAATATAAATCTGTACTGTATGAGGATGTCTCTGCATGAAACTATGTGCCTGCTGACTGAGTCAAGTAATATGTTCTCTTCAGTCTGCTGCAGGCCCCAGTAAGGAAGACATATAGGGAGAACTTGGGGTCTGCCTGACTCTGAGCTGGGACATTGCCTTCTCCTGCCTCAGGGCTGTTCTGGTCAGTCAGCTTGCTGTGTGCCAAGCACACACCTTAGGAATTCTCAGCCTCCATAACTGTGTCATCCAATTCCTTTTCAATATCTATCTATCTATCTATCTATCTATCTATCTATCTATCTATCTATCTATCTATCTATCTATCTAGTATATTGTAGACGCACACCATATATTATATTAGTATACACACACTATACTAATACACAGTATATTGTGTCTACATGTCTATTATATGTTCACATGTTTGTACACCCTAACGGTTCTGTTTCTCTGGAGAAGCCGGACTATACAGTGTCTCTCACAGAACAGAATCTGCCTTGTGTTGGGTTAGCAGATGTTGGGCATGCTTTCGTGGACTTTGTAAAGTAGGCTGGCTCTACATATTTGTATGGCCTTGACTTAAAGTATGCAAGAATTTCAGTTTGGTAGCAGTGGTATTTGAGTCCTAGCCTGGCAGACAGGCATAAACAACAGATGTTGAAGACCACCACACAGGGTCGTCTCTGGCTCATTAGGAAACAACTATTCAAGGAAAAGAAAAGGGTCCCTGATTAGGAAAAGTCTCCGGCTAATGGTGTTCCCATCCTGGGGTTCTTTCTGTCACCGATGCAATGAGCTGGGGGTCTTATATTCCAGATGGACTCCCCGTCACCCCTGCTTTCCCATACCACTTCAGCCTGGTGTGTCCAAGTGCTCAGCTACCAATAGCAATAGGAACAAATATAGGCACTGTGAAAAACAGCCTGGCGGGTCCCCCAAAAAGTTAAACCTAGGGTACCATGTGATCCCGCAGTTCTTCTAGGTCCATTTCCTAACGGACTGAGAGCAGAGACCCAAAGAGATGCGCACACATCTGTGTTGCTAGCATCCTGATTCACATACAGGGGCCTATCACAGACAGATAGGTAAGCAGGATGTGGTCCATATGTGCAGCGGGGGATGCAAACTGCAGCTTCTAATATACATACAGAGTCAGCCTTCGAGGAGAGGGGAGTCCTGACATGTGCTTGACTGGAGACGGACTCCGAAGGAATCCTGAATGGAACGAGTGAGTCATAAAAGGACAAGCATTGTATGGTTCCATTTACCTGAATTCCCCAGAGTGGCTGGACTCATGGAGTCAGAAAGCAGAAGGGTGCCTCCACGGCCGGAGGGTGGGGTGGGATGAGGAGTTTGTGTTTAAGGGGCCAAGAGTTTTCATTTTTCCACGTGAGCACATCTGAAGATGGATGGTGATGGTTGCACACAACATGTGAACGCTCGATTCTGCTGACCTGTAGATACTAAAGCCACACCCAAATTAAAAGGTTAAGGTTGATGGCAAAGCCCAAACACCAAATTCTGAATCCCAGGGATACCCCTAGGACAATGCTTGATATCTTTCAGGTGCATATGGTTTCCCAAACAGACAAGTTGGCGTGGATTAGCGTAAGCCCCAGGGTCCAGATAGCCAGGGCTGCCAGTTCTGTTTTGTTTGTGTGTGGTACTAGAGATTGAGCCTTGAACCTAGGGCCCTGGCTATGTGCAAGACGAGTGTCCTTCTCCCTGAGCCCCAGCCCCAGCCTGGCACTGGCCCTCCAGTCACGTCTTTCAACAGTCTGCTCTCTGCACCTTGACATGTGATGCTGAGGCTCTGAGCATGTCTTCTGCTCTCTGGGGTGGGGTGGGGGGGTTAAGTCTTGCCAACTGTGGGGTGCCTCGAGAAGGCTGGAGGAAGTCGAGGAAATGGTCTTTCCTGCCCGCCACCCCTGGGCTCCATGTCTGCTGCTGAGCCTATGACCCTGACTGTGGCTATCTCCTCCAGCCATGCTTCTTCACCCTGGTGGCTGCAGTTTCCGCTACAGGAGCAGTTGCCGGTGACACCCATGCATTCAGTGTCTGCTTTTTTTTTTCCTTAGCCTGCACTACGAAAAGTAGACAAGAGTCTGCCCAAGTCATGTGTGGTGGCAATCCTAGCGGTTAGGAGGCAGAGGCAAGAACATCAGGAATTTGAGGCTAGCCTTGGCTATAGGACACACCCTCTGTTTAAAAGAAAAGGAAGAAAAGACAGAGAAGAAGCCCCAAGGGAAGGCTTTCGTGGGCCCCACTGTTGTTTGGGGGGGCATTGAGGAAGGGTGTCTCCTAGCCAGCTTACCAGGTGAGCTGAACAACCTCCCCTGTGTAGCCAGAGGAGGGATGTGTGCACCAATCCCTTCAGATCAGCACGCAAATGAAGGGGTCCATTCTGGCATTGTTCCTTTTGCATCCGTTACAGTTACAGCAATGCCTTCACTGGGCCACCAGGGGGAGTGCTTCCCTTCTGGCCTATGTGATCAGCCTTGAGCAAGGTTTGTGATAGCAAAAAAAAAAAAAAAAAAAAACCCAGCACAATCCTTCCTCCCTCTCTTCATCAGGATTCCCCGACAGCTGTGCCGCTTGGTCTCACTTGTGGGACTCCTAACCGTGGGAGCAGGGACTGTCCCTAATGCTTTGGCTGGCTTCGGGGGCCCTATTGTTCATACTGGTTTGCCTTTCCCAGCCTTAGCACGAGGGGAGGTGCTTTAGTCTCACTGCAACTTGATACGCCAGGCTTTGCTGATACCCACGGGAGATCTGCCCTTTCCTGAACAGAAACAGATGTGGGATGGATGGGGGGTGGGCGGTGTGGGGGCAGGAGAGAGGGAAAACTGTGGTCAGGATGTAAAGGAAAAAAAACTTTTAAAAAAGTCCAGCACACATTGAGCAGTGGTGGCGCAGAGGCCAGAGGCAGGGGCTGGAGAATCTCTGTGAGTTCCTGGTCTCCAGGACAGCCAGGGCTCTACACAGAGAAAGCTTGTCTTGAAAAACAACAGAAAAAAAAAAAAAATCCAGCACAAACTCTTTCCAAATAGCCCTTGCTGATGCTGCGTCTTCCAGGCAGCAGGGGCGGGTGGTGGTGGTGGTGGTGGTGGTGGTGGTGGTGGTGGTGGTGGTGGTGGTGGTCAGTGAGAATACAAGAGTCTAACTGCCCATTCCCCGCATCTCTGTTTATTTAGAGAAAAATGATCAAAGAGGGATTTTCCATAGGAATCTGAAGAACCTAGGAGGGTGTGGTGGGCTCATACCTATGATTGCAATACTTAGGAGGCCGAGGCAGAAAGAATGGCCGAAGTTCCTGAAGCTGGCCTGGACTACATAGTAATTTCTAGGCTACCCTGGACTACGGTGTGAGACCTTGTCTCAAAACAAAACAAGGCGCCTTTAATCCAAGCACCCGGGAGGCAGAGGGTGCGATTCAGTCAGAACTACACAAAAGCCCATTGGAAACATCTGAAAAGGACGGCCCAGTAGCCACCTCTTCTCCAAATAACAAGGTTCATCCCACAGTTAAATTATTAAAAAGAAAGCAAAACCTTCTGTTTGTCTTTGTTAATTATTTAACTTTGGTTTCACGTTTTCTTGCTCAACACTCCTAAAGAGGTTACAAGAAAAGAGCCGTGAAAACCATCCAGGAACGTCAGTCACAGTAATCCTACCACGTGCTCACGGGAGGGGGTGGGCGGCAGCACCTCGCTCGGCCTTGCCGTGGCTGGGCGACTCTGAAAGCTGTCGCCCTCCCTGGGGTGGGCAGTTATTGCCTGGTGTTGTTTGGAGACTCGTTTCATTTATTTTTACTCACGGAAACGAGACCCCACACTTTCTTTGAGGACCTGTCCCTGTTTCTGTAACTTATTCTGTAACTTAGTGCCTTTAGGACCTTCAGAGTTCTGATTCTGCTCCTTGATAGTGGGAGTAGGAGAGGGCGCATCTGCAGTCCTAGCTAGCACTCAGGAGGCAGAGGCAGGAGGATCGCCATGTTGGAGGCCATCCTGGTCTACATAAAAAGTTGGAAGAGCCAGGGTTACAGAGAAGAACCTTGTGTAAGAAAACAAAGCAAAACGGAAAAAAAAAAAAACCCAGCCAGGAGGGGGCGGGGGTTGGAGGGTGGGGAGTGGAGGGCTGGGGAGTGGGGGGTGGAGGGATTTGGAGAGGCTGGGGGCGGTTAGGGGGGTACATACCTGTAATGCCAACATTTGAGGAGCTGAGGAAGGAGGGTGGGTGTAAAAGTGTGAGACCTGCAGACCATGTTATTTCTTCCTCTCCTTACTAGACAGCTCTTGCCACAAGACAGATGATTATGCACTTAGCTGCTTACAATCACACACTGGTGCCTCAGTGTCTCTGTAACCAGAAGCCTGGGCTTGGCTCAGCTGGGTTCTGGGCTCTAGCCTTGACACAGGCTGCTATTCATCCGAGGCAGGCTCGAAGGTGGAGATCTGTTTCCGGGCTCCTGCAGGTCGAGGGCACTCCTTTTTAGCCTCAAGCCGCAGCTTTGGCTTCGGGTGGGAAGCGGCTCTCAGTCACTACTTTGCCCGTGGCTCCTTGCCATGGTAAAGAGGTACAACAGCTTCCTCAAGACCAGCGAGGGAGAGTCCTGCATGCCTGCTCACAAAATGGAGTCTTATTTACGTGGATGCCTAATCATGGAAAGACACCCTGTCACTTCTGGCGGCGACTGTTGGTACAGAGTGTCACACATCCCGCCCACACTTCAGAGGTGGGTGTCCAAGGGGCCCCTCCTAGCCCCTCCAGCAATTTTCCACCGGACCTTTGTCATAGATGGATGCATTGGCCAGACAGATGGATTTGGACAATACCTGATGTCTTCCTGGTCCATTCGAGAAGCACCTCCAAGGCTTGGGGTGGCTCTGTGCCTGTCCTACACTCTGAATTGATTTTATCCTGAGTCCCTTCCCGTTTGGTTGTGGTCACGAGCCCAATGGTGAGATCCAGGGCAGACTAACATGTCATGGGTTCCACTCAGCTAGAAGCCTTGCTGTGCTTGGGGTTTGGGTACCCTGATATTTTAACACTGTGTGTACAGGGTGGCCGTCTTCCTGGGCAAAGCTATACCCAGGGACCTGGAAACCTAACTGGTGTCCACATGGAGCTGAGCCCTGGGCTTTTTGAATTCTTGAATTTGAGGTTTCATCCCAGGTATGAGATGGGTGTTACTGGAATGCTGCTGTTAACAGGGCTCCAGTTCTCAGTGCCTGGGTGGATGTGCACACGTACTCCGTTTGCACACAAAGCACAGCGACTCGTGGAGATGGCTGAGAGCTGTAAATCTCTCCCCGTGCTTTCAAGCAGCCCACAGACGCTAAGCTTGACCAGGCTCTCTTCCAAAGGGACTTTCAGTCTCTCTGACACCAGTGAAAGCAGCGTGGCCAAAGTCAACGGGGAAGAAAAGCACACGAGAGGGTGTGTGCCGAGCCGAGAAGGGTGGGTGGGTGGGCGGGGGACCTAAGCACACTTCTGCTTCATGGAGCCCCGGCAGAACCATTTTACAGCTTGAAGAAATAAACACACATTCCCAGTCAGACATGAGCATCTGGAAGGTGGAAGGATAATGGCCGTTTGCGGTTGGGAAGATTTTAAAGGGGTGGCTGTTTTCTAGAATCTAGTGTTTTACAGCAATTGCAATAAACTTTCCCTGGCTGGGCTTCTAAATGGCTACTTTAATTTTTTAAAGATTCTCATTTCAGACCAGTTCTATGCTCACTGGCAAATTGTACAGATCATTTAGAAGTCCCTATAAACCCACTTCTCTGGCATTTTGTCTAACGCTTTCTAGGCTTTCTAATTACAGTGTGCCAGTTGCACAGAGTAATGCAATTGACTGTGGGTTCTCTGCAAGAAGAGTGAGTGCTCTTGGCTGCTGAGCCATCTCTCCAGGCCGGATGAGCTGGGTTTTTTTTTTTTTTTTAATTAATTTTTTAAATTTTTTTGTTTTTTAAATCATTATTAATCTAATTTTATAATGAGCCAAGGTTTAAGCAAATACTTTGCCAATTGAAGGTATATGGCTAGACATGGTGGTACACATCTGTCACACCAGCCCGAGAGGCTGAGGGAGGAAGATTAACATACATTGGAGGCCAGGCTAGTCTACACAGTAAAACCTACCTCAAACTACTGTCCCCAAAAGATATATGGATGGCAAATAAAAATATTCAATACTAGCCGGGCGGTGGTGGCGCACGCCTTTAATCCCAGCACTCGGGAGGCAGAGCCAGGTGGATCTCTGTGAGTTCGAGGCCAGCCTGGGCTACCAAGTGAGTCCCAGGAAAGGCGCAAAGCTACACAGAGAAACCCTGTCTCGAAAAACAAAAAAAAAAACAAAAACAAAAAAAAAAAAAAAAATTCAATACTAGACATAATTAAATAAAATGCAAACCCAAATCAATGGAATACCACTACACCCTCATTAAGATAAACGAAATTAAAACATACTGACAAAGATGTGGGAAAGCTCTGTCTCACGTACAGACCATGAGAATGAAAAATGGTGTGACATTCCTTCAAGGCATTGCTGAGCAGACTCTCAGGCATGTCTACCATGTCACTCTACCCAATCCAGGTTACCAGTCCAAAGAAAAGACAGGCGGAGGGATCAACCCCGGAGCATCCACATGGTGGGAAGTTACTTAGTGACACAGATGAGTGAGCCCTTGACACAAGCAAGGAGAACCTCAACAGAACTACGCTGAGCGGGAGAACTCAGACAGAGGACTACGCAGTGGTGGAGGGTGCCGTTTATGTGAAGCTCTAGAAAACGCAAACTCTGTGACAGTGACGGAAATACCAGTGACTGCTTGGTGGAGAGTGGGGCAGGGCGGCGTACGTGTTGTTGGGAATCAACACAGGGCCTCCTGGGTGCTAGGGGAGCACTCTCCTGAGTTACGTGTCTAGCCCCAAAATGTG